TGAAATAAATGTGAGTGAGAAGATAAACGTGAGTGAAAAGACAGAAGTAAAGAGGATACTACATGGACAAACAAAATGTATGGGATTTATCTTCACATTAACGATAAAAGCAATCCCAAAAAATCCGACTTCGAAAGCAGCCAATAAATTTATTAATCCCAATTCGAACACAAAGATTGTTCTTATTGGGTAGCATGCACACACATCCAATAGTAATTGTTTCCCATGAACAACATTTTTTTAAGTATGCACGTGCTTCATTATAAAGAAAATAAAGAGAGACAAATAGTATTGGTCGTGCAATGTGTATTTCACTTTGCTTTCTAATTGAGCCGTGTAACAAGCTTTCAACCAAGCAACTCCCTAACCAGTTGGTTATAAGGGCACTAGGTGTGTAAAACACCTTGACAGGCTTACTGGTTTGACTCAACTAGGCTTCAAACTTAACACTGACCAACTTGAGATTTAATTGATATGTATGTATATAATAACAATTCAAGAGTAGCTTTCACTCACTGAAAGAGGTAGCTTTTCCTATAAACATCCAAACATGATAAGAATTTTGAGAAAAATAACTAAGTTGGAGCCTTTTTAGTGATCATTTTGGGAATTGATGAAGTTCTAGCCCACAAAGTTTAGAAGTACACGAAGTACAAATTCACATTTGTCTCAATGATATGCAGTATGCTTAATGCAAGCTCTATATGATATGCAAAACCATATGAAGTATCCTACCACTAACACTTGCAAGTCTGGACACACAGACTGTTGCAATAGTTCATGCAACTGCATCAGTTTAAACAACATAAATTCCCAGCGATTTTCGCAAGGATTCAAATTTATGTGCATCAAGGGTTTTAACAAAAGCATCGGTTAATTCATTCTCTGTTGTAGCATAATCGATTGAGACAACCCCCTTTTCAACCAAGCCCCTTATGAAACAATGGGAAATATCAGTAAGCTTAGTTATCGAATGGTAAACTCGATCCATAATTTTATTTTTCACACATTAATTATCAGAATTCAGATTAACAAGTTTTTTATGCCCCAAACTAGCTTTGTTAACAGAACTGTTGGAACAGTTAGTACTATCATCACATGATTTAAAGAGGTAATGGCAGACAAACATTTAAGATCAGATTTCTTTACCTAGATCTTTTGTTGAGTTTTATCCATTAAATTGACCTTTATCTTGGGTTTTTGATTCGACTCAAAAGTGTGATCAATTTTAGCGGAAAGTGGTTAACGGGCCATTATTATTTTCACCATCTTCAAGTACTTAAAACATCTGGGTCGTATATGACCAGGAACATGACAAAAATGACAGGTTGGGACAAAAACTTTTCTTTCTGATGACTGTGTTGGTGCAACTGTCGCAACAGTGTGTGAAACAGTGGATTGTTTAACAAAATTGATTTTCCTTTTAGGATTTTCTTTCTATTGCAATGCATCAGTAGATAGTTGATTACCCCCTATACCTAAACGACCATAGTTCGGCTGATTTTTGTTTAAAATTTCATTCAATGTTACTCTACCAGTATTAAACTTAGAAATAGCATCTTGAGTATGAGTAAACTCAGCCTGAAAACTACTTGTTTCTTAATCTACTTTAATAGCCCTTTCCTCAAGAGTAGAAATTCTTACCTTCAACACCTTGTTTTCCTCTATGAAAACATGCTTATCCTTTTCAAGGCACTTATTTACCTCAGATACTTCGAGCCACTTCCGGTACATTTTTTCATACGTATTTTAAATCTCTTCCAGGGTTGGCTATGCATCAACACTACTGCTCTCAGAGTCACCTGCAAAATTAAATGGTGAAGTCAGACTCTTGTTCTTATTTGAATATAATTCATCATACGTAAGTTATGTTGGACAGACTGTTGCAACAGTTCCCTCGGTTCTGCTCATCGAAGTAGTACCACTAAATGCTACAAAGTTAGCGGTTTGGTCTTCTTTGTTGTTCTCATCCTCATCACTGTCCTCTTTATCACTCCACACAGTGGTGAGTGGCATCCTGTTTTTCTTCAATGTGTTCGCACACTTGGCCTGAATATGTCCAAAACCCCCATACTCCCGACATTGTATTCTTCTAGACTTTGCATCATAAGAATAACCATTATTAGAAAACTTTTTAAAACTTTGAGGGTTAACAGACTTACCTGTTTGAGAGGAACTTCCTCTATTTTCAATTTCTGGAACGTAGCCTTTCAATATTCTTTGACATAATTGCTAAGGATTCTTCAACATCAAGGTCATACTCAGGAAATATTTGGCCTTGTGAGTTGCCATGGGAAGCTTCAGCCTGGAATGCCACATTCTTCACCTTTTTCTTTTCTCGATGGCTATCCCCGTGGTTCATTTCGTGTGCTGGCAGTTTCCCCATAAGTTCATCAAGTTTAAGTGAGTCAACATCTCTCACTTCTTCAATTGCAGCTACTATGTATGCAAATCTTTCTTGTAATGGTTGTAGCGCTTTCCTCACCAATTTACATTCTGAGAATGGTTCGCCGAGTGCATACAATTCGTTTGATATGTCGCACAGCCTTACATGAAAATCAGCAATCATCTCATTTTCTTCCATCCTTAGATTTTCAAATCTGGTGGCAAGCATCTGCAGCTTGGATGTTCGGACAGTTGGCGTTCCTTCATATGTCACTTGTAGGATCTCTCATGCCCTTTTTGCTAATTCACACGATGATATCAGTTTGAACTGATTGTCGTCAACGCCACTGAAAATTGAGTTTATCGCCTTTGAGTTGTAATTGGCAAGTAGTATCTCTGCATCAGTCCATGCTTCTTCAGGTTTTACCGTCTCCACACCATCTTTTCCTTTAGCCATGGGCGGGGTCCAACCAGTCACGATAGCGCGTCAGACTCGTTCATCAACGGACTTGATGAACATCTTCATCTTCGACTTCCAGAAAGATTAATTTGATCCATCCAACAGAGGTGGTCGTACTGTAGACGCTCCTTCACGATGAAACATATCTATACGTAACAAAATAGATTAATTAATTCCCAAAATCACACTATGTATATCTAGTGACAGACTCTTGATGTCAATTGTTATAATTACTTCGTGCAAATATTAATTATTTGTGTCAGATTCAATTTTTCGTTAATGTTGCGTGAAGTGATGCAACAGTTCGTGAAACAGTTTGTAAGAACAGAAATAAACGAGACACAAATTTTAATGTGGTTTAAATACAATTGTAATCTACATCCACGGGACCTGCAAACGAAATTTACTAATTTTAGTTTTACGAATACAATAATAGGACTTAATCAAAATACAAGGACTCCCTCTTTGTTGACGTCGTTCTTGTATACTACTCGAAATTATAAATCTTTGATTTGCAATACGTCATTTGCTCCGCATGGTTGAACTCCCTTCAACGCTAAATCCCTTCAGTCGGTCGATCGATCTCCTCCCGAGATCTGTTTAAGCCCCTCTCTCGAAGAACCAACCTTCTTTTTGTATACAAGAAGCAAACTTGTGATGATCCTTGAATTTTAGTGTCTTCACCACAAAGTCTTGAAACTGATAGATTTTCTATGAAAATCACATATCACGATGGAGTAATAAAAACGAGAGGAAAAAAGATATTCTCTGAAAAACTTCTCTCGATAAAAGAAGGCACGTAGGAGCAACAAAAAAAGAGAAATCTTTTTCTCTCCAAAAAGACACACAGTAACGACACCGTGTTGCTCTCGTATATATACTCTCCTACGTTTTTCTATTCCCTGTACAACAAGGAAAACTAGAGTCCATTAGGTCTAAGTTACCTAATATACGTAGAAGACGATAAGAATAACTTTTTTTAAATAATAAGATAGTTTCTTATATAAAAGAAACAGTTAATGACAAATTAAAGAATTAAAATAAACAAGGAGACCTCCCATTTATATTTTACGGTAAGGGCTGGCCCTGGCCCAGGGCGAGCAGGGCCTAGGCCCAGGGCCCATCTTCAGCTGGGGCCCAAAAAATAGTTTTTCTTTGATACATTTTCCAATTATTTTCAATTTCTTGTTTATTCTCTTTTATTTATTCTCACCCCTCGTCGTGAGTCGTGCCCAGTCCATATCTCCATACTTTCTCTTTCCACTTATTATTTTAGCCTGAATTTGTTTTTATTTTTTCTCACTCTTCCTTCTCATTTTCCCCCCAAATATGTACAAATACAAATGCCTTATTTTTTCACCAGGGGTCTGGGGTTTTAAATTCGTATATATAAAATTAGTTTTTGTTTACATAAAAATTTATTTAATATATATATTACTGCCACACTTGATGTATGACCAAATTACCAAAAAAAAATTGATTGGGTAATTACAACCCTGCTCTTTTTAAATAACTTTACATAAAATTAATGTAATTGGGTTATCCACCGAACCAAATCGTATAATCGTAAGATAATAAGATAATACATAGTTGAGGGGTGACTATAATTATCTAAATATGAGGGAGGTTTTCGTAATGTGACCATAACTTAGGGGGTCGCCGTAATTTGCCATATATATATATATATATATATATAATTTTGAGCATGCATATTTCGGGGCATCGATTTATATTTCGCCCAGGGCCTCTTGAAGTCCAGGACTGGCCCTGTTTACGGTACATAAAGACTTGTTGCACAAGTCTTTACTCATCCCTTGTTTATTAGAATCCAATTAGATTGTAACAAATATGATAAATCATTCATTACCTCTTGTCGATTAAAACATCTGAATTTACTTCTTACAATTTTAATACAATGTTTTGTATTAACTATTTTTCATATCAATTTGTATGGCGGTTTACAGTATGAATATCGAGACATTTATATAAGAATAACAATGCTACCAAAATTTAGTATATAATTTAATAAAAACATAGTAAATTAAATTAAAAGAAACAATAACACCTAATTAATGATAATTATTTTTTTTTATTTTTTTTATTCGTTTTGACCTTAATTCTAAACCGAATTCTACAATTTTAGGAGAAAAAAATACAAAACATTGAATTCTACAACTTGCCACACAAAAGAAAACACGCTTCACTGCACTTGTACGTTCAATAATATAATTCTCAAAGTACAACATTGATAGCATACTCTTTATCATCTACCACTAAGTACCTATATCCCTCTTCTATAACCATAACACCATCTTCGTTAGCCGTGCTAAGATTCTCGCACGGGTCCAATACGAATTCGATTTCGGCTTTTTCTCTTGCGTCTAAGCTCACACTCTCGAATCCCACCAACTCTTTCGTAGGCCTTCCATTGATATTGCTCGTCGTCTCGTGCCTGACGAAAAGTAGAACCGGGTGCTTTCCCGTCATATTCCCCATGTTTTCGACCCTGACGTGTGTTGAGAACTTCAACTTTTCACAATTGTGCGTCCCGATTTCGGAAACGGACAACGAACGGATTATTGAAGTTTCGTCGGTTGCTTGATGGGAATTTGGCGTTAGTTGGTTTAAGTGGATGGTGTTGGGAGTTGAAGGCATGAATTCGTAGGAATATTTTGTGTAGCTAAGGCCGTAGCCGAACTCGAACACTTTTGGACCGTTGTAGAAACGATAAGTACGGCCCGGATATCTAGACGATGGATCGGGCCTCATTCTCATGTCCGTCATTGGTACTCCGATGAAATCCTTTGGATACCAAGTTACGGGTAATTTCCCTCCTGCAGTGTGGAAAGACACAAAAGCGTTAGAATATGTACGTTGTCTCTAGAAAAAAGGGCTAACTTTTGAGTTCTACTTTGCATATGTATCTATAAAATTAGGGTAAAAATCTTACGGATGGAACGGGGATTAGAACTTTATCACTAGTAGAGAAAAGACTTTTTACTACGACCATTAACCGTAGAAAAATGTAGCAAATTCGTACGGACGGGCTTGTGACAAAAACTTTGCTACGGTAATAGCAAATATTTGTTTGCTATGGTAAATTCTATCATTTACTATGACTCCAAGATTATCACGTACTAAACAGGTACCCTTTGTTACCGCTTTTTACCATGGCAAAAAAAGTCGTAGTAAAAAACCATT